AACCATTGTTAACTAGCGTCTGTTTTACATTATTGTGTTTTCTAAGGAAATGGGGACGAGAAGATGAGTTATCGTGTGCTCTCTTTAGGAAGTTTTCATAAATACTATTTTATATCTAAAAAAATTAAAATTAAGGTGGCAAGAATTTCAGCTAGTGGGCTTTTTGTATAATAAAGTGATGAATGTGCTATTACTTAACGAGGGACTTTATTATTTTGACTAAGTTCATAGGTAAAATTAAGGACAGAGGTTTTTCGAATGTAGTTTTGAGATTATCGATTTCTTCTTTGTTTTACGCTAAAATAAAGTATCGACTACATGGTGGACATATTTTGCGGGGTTTAATGACTTGTTTAAATATCGTGTTTTCTACGTGGGGCATGTAGTAGTTGGAGAAACGAGCCGAGAGGATTTCTCATAGTAACACAAGTTAGTTTGGATGTAGATATTTCTATAATGGTCGTAGAAAGTGAGTTTAGTTGTGCAGGCATAATTTTTCGAGGATATTTGATTTGATGGATGAAAGTGGAATTGAATTATTTTTATACACAGAGTTAGGGATTATGTAGATGGGTTAATTAACGGGGACGTTTGTAAATAAATTTTCAACGTCGAGTGACGCTAAAATACTTTCGTTTAGTTTTATAGTTCTCAGAATTTGAAGGAATACGTGCACTGATGTGATGCTATAATCGGCAGGTAGATATGAAATAAAGATATCGTTAAGGAATTTTGACAGCTCGTTGATAGGTGTTGGGATGTGTAAAATGATGGGTTGTAGTTAGTATCCGGTTTTATGTATTTTTAGATTTCCTTATAGGTATCCTGTTTGGTAGTGTCCGATGATTTTGTTTATTTTCAAGGAATCTACGTCGGCATTGTTTGATATTATCACTTTGTTGATGTTTTTTTAGGACCTCCCTGATGTTCTTATTTAATTTGGTAAATGTGTTGGAATTTTTTAAGGTAATCGGCGTTGACCAAAATAATGAATGCGTTAACTTTTTCGGTTCGTATGATGATGAGGCTAGAATTATTATTTAATTCTTTTGCATATATATATATATATATATATATATATATATATATATATAATTATTTATTTGAAAATTATTTATTTGAAAATTATTTATTTGAAAATTATAACCTTAATATGTTATAAAATGACTACAAAAATAGTCATTTTGTTTTTCATTTGTAATTCAACACTTCTGGTGTCTTATCAAGTGATGGTGTTTAAACACCAGAAGTGTTGAAACAAAACAATTTATTTTTATAGTGATTTATAACATATTTAGATTATAATTTTCGAATAAATAATTATATTTATCTTTACTCTGTATTGAACACTCTTTTAAGAACAGTATTTGTTGGTTATTAGAATTTATTCCGTATACACCAATCCTATACTTGGATATATATATATATATGATTCATTTATTATTTTTAATCCGATATTTTTATTAATTCAAACGTTATTATCGAGGATACTTCGTACTTGAAATAGATGCCACATTTTTATTTATTAAACAGTGTGTATAAATGTGTTATATATGAATTGAGAAATATTTAGTGTTGGCTTTTTTCCCTGTAAAGGGAAACACAGGTTCAATCCCTGCACGGAACGCATTTTCTTTACTAAGATTTCTCTAATTCGCAGGCCGATACACGTAATAATTTTAATTATTTTAACTGTTTAACAAATAAAAATGGTGCGTCTATTTCAAATACAAAGTATCCACTATAATTTCGTTTGAAGTAATGTGTGTATGTGTGTATGTGTGTGTGTATGTGTGTGTGCACAAAATTATTCGGCCACTTTAAACTTTTGCAAATTAGTGATAATCGCTAGCTGTGAAGTAGATATAAGACTTCGTATGTTTTACGAGTGAAACGTTGACCCTTAGTCATTTCCACGTTTAATTACCATATCTTGCAGCCAGTTTCGTAATGTGAGACGATTTCCAAAGTAAGTGGCGTGTATGGGAAATTTTAAATGCTTCAATTGGGTGTAGTATTTGCATCACACACACACACACGCACAAACGTATACACATACACACACAGATACACTAAAACACTTATGCGTCTGTGTGTGCGTTTGCGTGTTATTTTTTTCGAGTATAGTGATTTACTAAACGTGACTTAGATGTAGCAGAAGACCGTAAGTACGGAATTCCCAATGAGGATTAAACTCAATTCTTCTTCTTAATGTGCTGGGTTCCTTCAGGGCGTAGTCGATAATGGTTCTTGACAATTTCCTATACTTTGTAGCTCTTAATAAATTTTGTGATTTTGCTATTTCTCTAAGCCATGTCCTGCCATCCACTTAAGATCACTATTATAACTAAGTATATAAGCATATATATATATATAAGCATATATATATATATATATATATATATATATATATATATATATATATATATATATATATATAGCATATTTTTTTTTTTTTTTTTTTAAGCGTTTCACCCCAAGCAAGGCGGGAAGCCACTAGGACGCAAGGGGTTACAGAAAATTTGGAGCAAGATCAGATAGGAGTGATAGAAGAAAGAATGAGGAGAAGGGTAGTGGATAGATCAAGGCAATTGAAGATGTCGATTGACATTACATTTGAATAGCTGGAGATTATAGATCTCAGGGAAACTGGAATAGGGAAGGGAGTTCCACAGGCGAGAGGTGCGAGACATGAAGCTATTAGAGTAGAAGAGACGGCTACATTTAGAAGTTTCGACAGTGAAGTGGTGAGAGCGGGATTCCAGCCTCGTCGGGCGCTTGAACTCATGAAGCCTGGGAACCAGCTCCTCAGCTCCATGAAAGTATTTGTAAAACAGACAGAGAGAGGCGACGGCGCGTCTATGAGAAAGTGACTGTAGACGAGATGCCAGAGCAGGGCCAATTATATTGCATATCCGCCTCTGGAGCCTATGAAAAATCCCGAGGCAAACATAAGGGGCTCCAGACCATATATGACAGCAATACTCCATGCAAGGGCGAATTGTTAGCATATATATATATGTATATATATATATATATATATATATATATATATATATATATATATATATATATATGTGAAAAGTGAATATAAATATAAATAAATATATATATATATGTATAATTATTTATATATTATATATATATATATCAATATCAGAGATAGCTAATATATTTGGTTGGATAGATGTGAGTTTTGTGATGGGTTTACGCTTTAGATCGTCAGACAAACTGATTACTGTTTTTCTATAATATATATATATTTCCACATATATATATATATATATATATATATATATATATATATAACCATATATATATAAGCATAACTATGTTATGCTTTGTTTCCCGCTGTCCCTCTTGCCTTCAATCTCTCCTGTGAGTATCAAATTTTCCAAGCCCTCTTTCCTTATTATGTGCCCTAAAAATTTCAGTTGTCTCTTCGTGATCTTAAGTATAGGTTTCCTTTTTGCTTCCATTTTCTCTAAAACTCCGCCGTTGCTCACATGTTCAGTCAATGATATTCTCAACATCCTTCTGTAGAACTGCATTCCTGTTGCTTCAAGTCTTTTCTCCAACTGCGAAGAAATTGTCCAGCATTCACTGTCATATATGAGGACTAATATCACATAACAGTTCAGTACTCTTTTCTCACTACTGTCTCGTAATTGATCTAGCAAGACAAGCCTATTAACCATTAATATCGACAAGGTCTACCCGTTTAATTTTTATTATATGTTTTCCGATTTTCGAATACTTTGTTATACATCCAAATCAAATTTAGGAATAAAGCTGCCCGAAGTTTATGCATTGTTTTTGTTTTCTTCAAGTACTTTCGACTGCCTCAATGATTATCAAGAACTGTGTGTTTTCAGTATAACAGAGAAGATATTTTAAGCAAAATCCTGGCATTTTTTGGAACGCTAGAATTTAAATTAATTCAAATATATATGTATCACATAGTGATGTCATGTGTGAAACGTTTTCACGGAGCTCAACTGCAGCGGATAAAATGAATAAAATATTATTCTTTTTACAATGATCTTCACCTTGTACAAGGCCCAAGTGACACTCGAGATAGAAGATTACACCACTCCAAACAATGTGATAATGCCATCATGAGGCAAAAGTGCCACTGGAAGTGAAAGGTAATGAACAGACTTTAGAAGGGACAGGAAACCCAATCTTAAACAGAAAACAAGGGATAAATTTCAACTCATGTTAAAAAAAAAAAGAAAAGCTTGGGAGAAGTGTGAACCGACACGATAGCCGTCTTGGGAATGAAGATAAACCACATCTGCGTCCTGGGTAAGACGATTAACTACATCCAGCAGCATGGCCTCTGATCAGGAGGTTTTGAAAAGCGTGGAACCACCTCTTAATTTTTGGTGTATTAAAAAGTCATAGGGTGGTAGCACCTGTTAGGGTCCCAATTTATGGAAAAATGGTTAACCTAAGGAAAACTAGGGTCAAAACACTATGAAAGTGTAAAGATAGGTTTTAATATCAGAAATACCTTGTAATACAGCAATACATTTTGATAATAAATATTACCAGCAATACATTGTTGAAAAAAATGTATTACTAGCAATATTTTAAAAAAAAAAATACCAATAATATATTTTTTGAAAAAAAATATTACCAGAAATAGATTTTTGAAAAAAAAATATTACAAGCAAATAATTTTTGAAAAATAAAATATTACCAGTAATAAAAATTATGTCGGCATTATATAACACTTTGAGGTTGATATGCCGTATACAAACCAGACCAAACCAAACCGACAGGATAGGCGAACCTACTGATGAAAAATAATAAATAGTAAATAAATCTTCAGAGTTTTTAGGCGCAGACATAGAAGTATATAGAAGTTTCAAGTAGATTTTCGTATTGTAAATTTTCTACGCTTTTCTTCTAGCATTACTAACATATATGCTAATACGCACGCATATTTATTTATATATTATTACTTGGTACTATGACAGTTGCATACTGGGCAAATGTCCCTGCACCCAATTGTCTGGTACGTAAGTGTCTGGGACGCAAATGTCCAGTACGCAACAGGACGTCCACCTTTATTACTTGTAATCAATCCTATATAAACTTATATCAAATGTAAAATATAATGTTCAATATCACACTAGAGCGATCATTTTTATTATTAAATTCCAATACTTATCGAAAAACAGATCAAATTTTCGTACTTGTTCAATAACTCATTGGGATTTTCGGCAAGATATGAGATTTTTAAATCAATTCACCCCATGAAACGCGACAACACCACTACGACGCAAGGACCTATTGATGTGAAAGAGAGAATGAAAGACTTTTATTTTTAAATTATATTCACTATTGTCCTCATCTTTGTCGCCATATTTATTACAACGTTTCGGCCGTTGTACGCTCCGGCCTCTCTCAGGTAGCTGAAATGTCGAAATGAATCCTTTATTTCGCTCACTGGGAGAGACTGTTCTAGTTCCACGTGCCATGTTTAATGGATGTTACTTATCAGTTATCTCCTGTTAATTTCCCCTCTAAATATTCTCCACTGCCTTAATTTTATTATTGAACTTATTTTCTTTGGGTTCTGTCACTGGATCTAACTAACGACTTCATCCACTGTGCATGTTTTTAACAGACTTTTCATATTGCAATTTTTTGCAAATATTTTATAATATTTTCTTGGAAACTCATTATTGAAATTATTATCATTATTATTTTTATGGGGACCATAATATCAGTGATGCCACTTTAAGAAAAGCGATAACAATAAAAAAATAAAAGGTAAAGTTCTAAAAAAACATTCATGATAACACCAAAAAATTGCAATATGAGCAAACTGGTAAAAAATGATGGCTGAAGACATTGTGGTTTATAATACCCAGAAATTCATACGCAGATGTCTTCAAGAGTCTTGGCAAGTGGATAAAGGCGTTAGTTAGAGAAAATTGACATACTTTCTTTAAAAATAAAATTTTCCTTTTTCTTAATACATTGCTTCAAACTTTTATAAGTCATTTTCGCTCAAATCACCTTAGATTTCGCTGTCGCACTTTTCGTCCTCTGTTAAAACATTCCCAAATATTTAGATTGTTGTACTTACTTGATTTTGGTATCTCCAATTTGTAACTTGCATGTTGGACTGTTCCTTTTGCTGATAACCATGCATTCTGTCTTTTTCGTTTCTGACGGAACTAGATAAAATTTGTAACTTCATTGAATGTTGATATATAATATTTTGGTAAGGATCTATGCTGTCAGATCATACCTCCTTCAGATTATTCTATTTCGGTCCCATCAAATAAAAATCTATCCTGGAATTGGTTCTACATATATGACTCTATTGTTGCAGAGGTTTAAGGTTTTCCGAGAAGGGGCATTATACCTTCGTGTACCGATGAGAAAATGCCATCAACCTGGATGGTGACTACGTGGAAAAATAGAATAGTGATGTTTGTAATTAATATACATTTTTATAGTAATGTTTTGTTAGTAGATATTTCTACCATATTTTTCGGATATTTCTGCGTATCTCTTTAAAGACTAAATTAGTTAAACAAATGCGTGTAGAATAATTTACGTATATTTTAAAATTAAATTTAATGCTTAATAATCTGCTAGTTATCACTATTCGGAGACATTAAAATTATCGCAGTCGCTTAAATAATTCACAAATTGCTTTTGTTACTTTTCTTTTATTATCCATAAAACAAGAAACCCGTGACAGTGTTGTCTGCTTTCCTTCATTGAATACTACACTTGGTTTATCGAGATAATAACAATATGTCTGCGAAAGGAATAGACCGAGTACGAATGACTCATTTTACGTTAAGCGGCGGCAAAGGCAGACGGCGGATTAATACAGGGTGAAATTAATTCCGAGACGTTTATTCAGAATCACTCCGATAGAAAAAAAAGAAAGAAAAAAAAAGAAAGAAAAGGAAAGAATAAGAAATAAAAATAAATAAATAAATAAAATGAAGAAATAAAATTGTTCATTGTTCACGTGTGTTGTCATTTTTAGTTGATGACACCACATGTCTCGGTGCTGTATTTATTGTTTGTCTGTCTCTACACTGTTGGGGCGTCCGAGTTTAATTTACTTATAATTTACGTTTACGACTATCTTATTGAATCCGACAGCTGTCAATTATTTTATAAAAAAAAACATAAAGGAGGTCCTTTTAACACGTGTATAATTAAATTGATAACACCCCCACATATATATATATATATATATATATATATATATATATTTATAACATATACATCAAAGATACACACAAAAACACACACACACACACACACACACACACACACACACACATGGTGTTTCAATACTAAATTTTTTTTTTTTTTCAAATCTGTGAGGTTTAATACTTGGCTGGTGTGTAGATTTTTTTAAGTTTATATATATGCGACATAGTATATCATGAGTCAGTATATCAACAATCAAAAAAGTTATATATATATATATATATATATATATATATATCAATATATATATATATATATATATATATATATATATATTTATAATGTATTGGTATGTGTGTGTGAAGTTGATAAAAAAAAAATTGGAATAACAATAATTTTTTATAATTTCCTGACATTTTTTTCTACTCTCTCTGGTAAAAAACCATTAGTATAGAAAGAAAAGACAAATTTTTTTTATTATCTTTTGCATAAAAAAAAATGTTGGGATTTCAGAGGAGGTTGGGAATCATAATTTCAAATTAATTTTATCTTATCATCCAATGTCCAGACGCAAAGTGTCTGCCAAGCCAGTTTGTTATATATATATATATATATATATATATATATATATATATATATATATATATATATATAAATATATACTTTTATGCATAAATTGCATATCAGAAGAGAAATTCTTGAATGGAAAAGCGTAAAACTCAGGGAAACAGAAAACACATTGTTCATATTCAGAAAATATATATATATATATATATATATATATATATATATATATAAATATAAAATACATCTAATGTCTGGATTTTAATTCAGTCTAGAACTGAAACTAAAGTTTTGTTGTATATAAATACAATCCACCAACACATTACAAACATTAACACACACACACACACACATATATACATATATATATATATATATATATATATATATATATATATATATATATATATATATATTAGACTCGATTTATGTATTCTTGTTTACAATGTAGAATGCATATATAGTATATAGTCATAAAAAAAATATATATAAATACACACACAAATACATATCAGGTCATCGGATATGTTCTGTACGAATTTTGAATAAAGAAAACAAGTGACCAAATGTTACATTTAATTACAGATTCAATCAACAATGTATTTTCCCTGATTATCTATACTTCCTTCCATCTATTAACAAGCATACTAATTCCATTACTGTAAAATTCTTTTTGGCTTTGATTCGAAGAACTCACAAATGTCAGTTTTAACCTCTTCCTGTGTTACAAAACCTGTTTCTTCCAAATGATTCTGTAAGCTACGAAACAAATGGTAGTCTGAAGGAGCAAGATCCGGAGAATAAGGTGGATGAGGAATTTTCTCCCAACCAAGTTCTTCGATCTTTTGTGACGTGATTCTTGCTGTGTGGGGTCGCGCATTGTCCTGATGAAACATCACCTCTTTTCGATTCACTAGAGCAGGTCTTTTTTTTTTTCCTCAAAGCTTGGTTCAAACGCTCTAATTGCTGACAGTATATTTGAGCATTAATTGTTGCATTAGGTGGTAAGAATTCAAAGTGGATTATTCCTTGGCGATCCCACCAGATTGAAAAAGAAGAACCTTTTGCCCATGAAGTTCCCTTCTCGGCTGTGGCTGGGGTCCTTCCCTTTACCAAGCCACTGTCTACGACGCTTAACATTTCGATAAAAGATCCATTTTTCGTCGCCAGTCACAAGTCTATCCAAAAAGGTGAAACAAGTTGGCGAGAATGGAGAGAAGAGCAGATGTCAACTCAGGATTTGAGGTTGTTTTCAGACAATTCATGAGGCACCCATTTTCCAAGTTTAGGAACTTTTCCAAGTTGTTGAAGATGACGATGAACAGTTGTATGGTTTGAACTGAGAACCACTGCCAATTCCTCAACTGATAAAGCAGGATTTTCTTCAAGGGCTGCTTCAAGAAGCTTTTCATCAAACTCAACTGGACGTCCGGTTCGATCTTCATCTTCAAGGGTGAAATCTCCACCTCTGAATTTTGCAAACCATCTTCTGCAAGTTCTTTCATTCACACATTCCTCTCCATAAACTGAGTGAATGTTTCTAGCCGCTTCGGCTGCTGAGTTTCCTTTCTTGAACTCATAAAGCATTATGTGCCTCAAATGATTCTTGGGTACTTCCATGTTAGCAGGGTTTTAATCAAACAAAATTTAATTTTATTGTTCTCTGAAATAAAATTTGATCAGTTTAAATGCATCTAAACATAAAAATAATGTTCAGCTCCATTAGACATTATAAAATACTCTTTTAAATTTCGTTCATTTTAACAAAAAGTTAAAATTCGGACAGAACTTATGGGATGACCTGATATATATATATATATATATATATATATATATATATATATATATATATATATTAGAAATTTTATGTATACAATATTTTTTTATATAATAAAAATATATATATATATATATATATATATATATATATATATATATATCAGACCCAAATTTTGTATATATGTAATGTTTTTATTTGTACAAGTATATAATGAAATTTCTATATACATACATTTATATATATATATATATATATATATATATTATATATTCATTTTTTTGGATGTTTTTATATATATTACAACATGTATACATTCAAAAATTTTTAAAATGTGATTGGTCGTGTATTATCTTTTTTTAAAATGATATTATACATCCTACAAACAAACAGGAAGGAACAAATATATATATATTTGCTGAAATTTATCTGTCTCTGGGATTTTATCCTCCTTTTTTACCCATTAACAGTTTTTCGGTTCAATAAATGGCAAAATATATATATATATATATATATATATATATATATATATATATATATATATAATCTAACACATCCTTTGACTAACCAATTTCAAAAAAAAGATTTCTGCTCAATTTTTCCCATTTTCATTTTTTAAAAGAAAAGAAAAATATGAAAAATGTTTTCAAATAGATTTTGCAAGGATACTACAAATAAATCATTTTTTGAGGTTTTAAAAATCTGTCGTTATTGGCGGTTTTTGATTTAATATATATATATATTTTTAATATTTATAGATAAACGATATAAAGGCTACTGTTAATAAAAATTCGAGAAATTGACTATGGCAACAAAATCCATTTTTTTATTAATTTTTTAGAGTTTAAATTGTTAGTTTTTAGCGTTGATTTGTTTTAAAAAAGGAAAAACGTGAAAAAAAAAATTGACAACAAATAGTAATGAAAAAATTGTTAATCAAATAAATTAATTTTTGAAAAACTGAGACAATTTATGAAATGTTTAAAATTTATAAAATCTTATAAATTTATCATTCAAAAACAATTCTAATGTGTAAAGGAAGTCAAAAATAAGAATATATAGTACAACTCGTCTAAACTTAAGATCCGAGATGGATTAAAGGTATTGTTCTGATTCAAGGAAGAAAAGGCCTCATATTTATGTCAGTACAAAAGTTTGGATTTGAAGATGAGTCCAAATTCAAGCTAGTTTAATTGGAGGAAGTCTAGATTAGGCTATGTTCGGATTTGAGGAATTAAAAGAAAAGGTTATCAGTCTATATTTCTGAGATGAGGTATTATGTACACTATTTACATTATTCGGACTATTGTTCTCATCTTTGTCGCTATATTTATTACAATGTTTCGGCCGTTGTACGCTCCGGCCTCCTTGACACATGGCACAGTGGATAAATGCGTTAGTTAGTTCCAGTGGCAGGACCCAAAGACTCTGAGTTCAATACCTGGTTAAGGCGGTGGAAAACTTGGAGAGGGGAATTAACAGGGAGATAACTGATAACTGACATCCATTAAACATGGCACGTGGAACTAGAACAGTCTACCCCAGTGAGTGAAGTATACCCCAGTATGGCGACAAAGATGAAGACAATGGTCTGAATAATGTAAATAGTGTAAAAATTTGTTTTTAAATCAAATGTTCTCAGTTTTTGAATCAAGTCCTTTTTTCTTCTTTACTCTCAGTAACCCCTTGCATCCTATTGTTTATTTTGTATCTGTTACTTCTGAGTTCCTATTGGCCATTTTTTGTCAAAAGCAGTTTTGAGCGTAATGTTCTGATTCGAGGAAGAAAAGGCTTCATATTTATGTCAATACAAAAGATCAAAACAACCTTGGGGGGGTTACATTAAGTATTATACCAGTATAATAATAGTGATTCTAAGATTCATTTAATACTAGAATTTATAAAAAGCGTTTTTAAATTTTTTTTTTTATTTTTAGGAAGTTTTTATAATATATTTGTTATATTTTTTTATTGTACAATAAAATATAATAATAATTTTTTTTACGGGTAAAGAGGGGTGTGTGAATGCCAGGGGCAAAGATTTTAAACATTTGAGGGATTATTATGGTTATTATTAATAAGTTTTTTTTAATCAATACAATACGTTTTGCGTGCATGTTTTGTTTGTCCATACTGTATACCTACTTTTGCACCTCCTGTATATATATATGAAGTTTCAAAATTCAGTGTCTGATAAACAAAAGTGTTTCTTTTGATTTATGTATTTATCTATTTACTTATTTTTTTTTTAATACAAATTACTATTTAAATTATTTTAGTTTAGGATTAATTTAGGTGTTATATATTTAAAATAACATGTGTTTATTAATTTAATCGTTTTCTTTTATTTAACATTGTTATAATCATGTATTTTGGGTTTGGAAAAGATTAATTCTTTCAGGAATTAAGATATTTGAAGAAATCCAAGGCGCAGGTATATATATTGATAAGATTCAATAGCCGCACTTACGAGGATCTTCATTCTAAGTTAAATATTAATTTGTATAATATTTTTTCTAAAACATCACTTACTCATATGTGTCTGTGTATTGTCTGTGTGTGTTTGCGTATGAGCGACTATGAAAAAAAATGAAGGTCTCCTAACAGCGTGTTTCTACCGCCTACGACAAATTAGTCCCCTTTCCGTCTACTGGTACACTAACTTTTAAATGGTACTGTTTACTAAAGTCAGTGACTAAAAGCCATTATTGAGAACGATGTATTTACTTTCGCATCATAGAAAAAAATCATCAATCTGATTATGTAAGTAAAGCCGTGTTTGTGATTGTCAGTACACAGTGCATTTGTGGCCGTTTCCAATCTTTTATAAGCTTTTCTCTCTTTCTCTTACTCTCTCTCTCTCTCTCTCACTGACTCTCAATTTCTCACTCACTCTTTCTCACTCTCTCTCTTTTTCTCCCACTCTCTCTGTCTCTTTCTCTCACTCCCTCTCTCTTTCTCTCATTCTCTCTCTTTCTCTCGCACTCTTTCTCTTTCTCACTCTTCTCTTTCTCACTCTCTCTCTTTCTCTCACTCTCTCTTTCTCTCAATCTCTCTCTTTCTTTCACTCTCTCTCACTCCCTCTCTCTTTCTCTCACTCATTCTCTCTCTCTTTCTCTCGCACTGTCTCTCTCTTTCTCTCATTCTCTCTGTCTCTTTCTCTCATTCTCTCTGTCTCTATTTCTCAATCTCTCGCTCACTCTCACTCCCTCTCTCTTTCTCTCACTATCTGTCTCTTTCTTTCACTCTCTCTTTTTCTCTCTCGCTCACTCTCTCTCTCTCTTTCTCTCTCTGGAATTGTTCTCTCTTTCTTTCTTACCTCTATTTTCTTTCTCTCTCTCTCTCTCTCTCTCTCTGGTTAACTTTGCACAAATTCTGATTGTATGGAATGATGTCTTTATTATTACGGCGAATGAAAAATTCTTTAGAATGGCACAATATTTCCTCTTTATGTTGCACTATATTGAAATACATACGCAAGAAATATGAAACCAAAAATGGAAAAGCATAAGCAATGAAGAAATAAAATCATGAGGTGGGGGGTCATTAATCTTACAATGTTTATCTTTGAATCTAAGAATAATTAAACACTTTCAGACATTTTAATTTAATTACTAGTTGACTATTTTACTAGTTTACTCTAGCTCATTATTGTTACTTTCTTTCCCCAACACTCTGGGTCAGTACATTCTATCATTACTATTATTTATTCCTAATTTTATACCATCTAATTATTATTGCTGTATAAGAAAACATTCTGACATATCATTAAGCAACATCGAGCCTGGTCAGGACATCGATGGGTGACCGCTTGGGTCTACCAGATGCTGTAAGATTTGAAGTAGCGGTTGGCTAATGTATAATGACTCGGAAATGTTAATCAGAGATCCGAGTCCCCGTACGATCACTGAGGTTAAGCAACATCGAGGCTGTTCAAGACCTCTAGGGGTGACCGTTTGGGACTACCAGATGCTGTAAGATTTGAAGTAGGTGTTGGCTAATGTATAATGACTCGGAATTGTTAATCGGAGATCCGAGTCACTGTTCGATCACTGAGGTTAAGCAACATCGAGTCTTGTCAGTACCTCGATGGGTGACCGCTTGGGAATACCAGATGCTGTAAGATTTGAAGTAGGAGTTGGCTAATGTATAATGACTTGGAATTGTTAATCGGAGATACGAATCCCAGTACGATCACTGAGGTTAAGCAACATCGAGCTTGGTCAGTACCTAGATTGGTGACTGCTTGGAAATACCAGTTTCTGTAAGCTTGGATGCGCGAGTGGTGTAATGTATAATACTCGGAATTTTTAATCGGAGAGCCGAGTTCTAGCTCCTGTTGGGTTCGTTATATCCGCTTACGTGCAAATACCCTTGGGAAAGGTATGTAACTTTTCTCTCCTTAGCTATAGGTTAACTAGCAAAACGTATATCACTAAAATCATTATTATTTCAAAAAATAATCTTACCCTATAAATATATATATTTTCTGGCTTTAAATAACCTGCAAAGGGTCGATAAACCGTAGAAAACGAAAGAATCAATGAAATATTCATATTTATCGACTTAAGCTTTTCTTATCTTTCTATCTCAATTTTGACATGTCTATGCGCCGTTTTGTTTAAAATCATTATCAACGTCTTCTTTAATCATATCTACTTGTCTAATTTTCTGGTTTTAAATAACCTACAAAAGGTTGATAAGCCGTAAAACTAATCCAGCAATCAGAATAGTACTCTTGGTCAATGCACACTTCATTATTCATATTATTTTGTTACTAATTTTACTCGATATTATTTTGCTTCTTCTTCTGTGTGTCATGTTCCTTCAGAATATGGATAATCACGGCTCTCCACAACTTCCTATTCTTTGTAACTCTTAGTAATGTTTGCTTTTTTTGCACCTCTCCTAATCCCTGTTTGCCAACAACAGCGTTAGGTAGGTTATCCACAACTTTCCTCTCCCCACTTACCTTCAATATGTCCTGTGAGTGTTATATACTCCAAGCCTGCTATCCTCATTATGTGTACGAGAAATGTCAACAGATTCGAAGTCTAAGCGTCTTTTTTGTTTCCATTTTCTCTAAAACTACATCGTTACTCGCTTCTTCTTATCCGTGGTATTCTCAAGATCCTTCTGTAGAACAATGTTTTTGTTGTTTTAATCGTAATCTGTCTCCATAATACGAATTCCTTTAATGTCCAATCACCTTTCAAGGAAAAACTGATCTCATAAGCCATCTCGATGTCTGAGATCTACTTTAAATTTACTAATCCAGGTTGATAACACAACGTCGGTTTTTAACGTGGGGATGGTGTGGTTCCACTCTGGCCAATAGTCTCAGCTGGTCTTAGTCATAGCCGGTCATACCACCGCTACGGAACATGTTACGCAACAATGGGGAGAGGGAACGCAAGGGAAGATAGAAGGCCTCCGGCACGGAACAGATACTACAACCCCAGCATCTACTCCGAGGGGAAAATTTCCTCCTCCTCTACCAAACCTTCAGGAAGAATCCATGAGGAGAGCCTTATCCGGAGGGAGAATCCCAAGGGCCGACCATTTTGGAGTCCACAAACCCGAGATTTACTTGACCCCACTGAGTCAGGCTGGGACATAAGGTCGGCTTTTAACGTGGGGACCGAAGTGTTTCCATTCCGGCCGCTGTTCATAGCTGGAAATGATACCACCAAACACAAATTCAATTCCAGACCCATAACCACAACTAAACACACCTCTCATGACAGACAAAACCAAGAAGGATCGTCATTTTTCTTAAACATCTCGAAACATACATAAGTTATTAATTAATACGATCATTTATCCAAAGGAGGGTCTTGTTGCATTCTGTCAGCACTGCAACATTTTTTTAAACAACCGGAAGAAAAAGCTTAACCAGCGATTGTTGTTAAACTAATTCAGGATATAGCAAGGCCTCACAACATAAAAAAAAGCCACAAGTATCCTTCCGCGATGTTTACTCATTCCCCCACGAGAATGAGATGTGACACAAGGTCGGATTAATGTGGGGATCCGAGCGCGTGCACACGGGCAGGGTCAAAAATTCCTCTCAGCTCCCGCTACCGTCGGTTGCGCTGGCCTCGGTGCGAGCACCGATCCTTCCCTCTTGTGCAATGGGAGCGCGCGGCCTCGGGCACCTGTTTCCCCTTTGACTGGGCACCTTTTCAATATAATTTTCCTCAGTTTCCCCTCTCTGCTTTGACAGAGAACCCCCTCAGCCCAAGTGATTAGGGTCAAAATGTAGTATCTGTTCCAGCAGCCGAGAATTGACACACGTTAGGGCTAGCCTTGATTTTCTTTTTTAGGTGAGGCCCTCTCCTGGTTAAGATAAACCCCATTTTTGTGTTCCTAGTTAATGGGAATAAGTGTTTTTCCCGGATCCTCTTTGATTATGATCGAGATTCTCAACCTTCCCAGTTTGTTTTTATCCATTTTTTTTCATCTCGACTAGGCCAGCTTTTTTCTTCCGCATGGCCGTATTTATTTTATCCTTCCTTTTACCGAGAGAGCCTCTTGTTTTTTTTTCCCTAAAGACAGGATACAGCGACCTCTCTTAAATCATTTCAGGTTTTGATGGGTCCAACTAGCATCAGTTATATTTATTTTATTTGTTTTGATATTTTAGTTTATTTTTTGGATTCATCCCCTCCCCCTAATTATAGATTTTTATATAGAGAGTTTGAGGCTCATTTAATTTTTATGTCATGTGGTGTGTTTTGTAGGTTTACCTGAGTGCATGCGGCATATGGGGGTTTTGAATGATGATGGATTAGTTTTTATGGTGGATGTGCAAATTGTAATGAGTGAATGGGTCGCGAATCGGATTTGCAAAAAAAAAAAAATCTCCGTCATAGGACAACTCACTTCCTTCGGGCACAGGGCACCTGTAGGTGGTGTAATGGTTAGCAAGCTTGTCTCGCTCAGAACTATTGTGACTGAGTAGTAAGTTCGATCCTCACTGGGTACCATAACACTTTCGGCCTTGTGCTACATCTGAGCTACTCTTGCAAAATAACTATCTTCATGAACGGGCAGAGATATTTTTTTTGCCTCGTGCGCTGTAACCTTATTTTTGTTTAAGTATTATCTTTAATAAAAACATACTTGGTGGTATATTTATATTTTACTTAAGTCTTCGATTTGTTTGTTGTTGTCTTCCGTCAATCAGTATCTTTTTGCGAGCCAATATACAACGACATGCATTCCTGGAAAGGTAATAGAATGGATTAACGTTACTTTCTCTACGGCTTGAACTAAAAAAAAATCATAACGCACAATTGTGGACGGGGTGAAGTGATGTGTAAATGCTGTTTCTTGAGGCATAAATTTGGTAATAAACGCAACTGATTTACCCGGAACCCGATTATCCGATTTTATGCTCCACGACGATAACCGTTACACTATCTGCACGTCTAGGTAACGGTAGGAGTATTATTTTAAATTTTTATTACATCAAACCTTGTCAACATCAGTGGAAAGAAAGCTAACTATAGGATAAATTAGATATAATTTGCTATAAGAAAAAAAAAAATTAATGATGAAGTAATCACGAGCCAGAACGAATAAAAATATAGGAAAGAAAAATTTAATTGGAAAAATTATTCATCTAACAAATTTAAACAAACTAATATTATATCGTATAATTTTCTTATGTAATTAAACTAGCTTAAAAGCCGCACACCGTACGAACTTTTAGGCTAGATTATGCGAATGGCTAATTGGGCCCCCGGAACAAAACTGAAGCGAGTTCTGGTCCAGCAGGAGAAACCGAAGCGAAATAACTTTGAATTGCTCGATTCATTCCATGGAACCTCAAAAGCACACTTTCACTCTGATTCGGGCAATAAGTCCAATTCCGGTCGAAAGTCTGATTTGGGCCGAATTTTTCCAATTCAGGATGAAAATTGAGTTCTTCAAATCACAAATTCTATCGAACTTCAAAACCTCACGTCACGAAAACTTTCATTTTAATTCTGATTGCTTGGAATTTTGTGAAACAAAACTGATTTTCTCAATTTATAATGTTTTGAAGATATTTTCAACTAAATTTCAAACAAAAAATTTTAAATTCACAAAATTTTTGTATTACTTTAAACTCATTATATATTAAAAAAAAACTTAAAATCACTAAAATTTTTTCAGGTTATTTTCAAACTTTTTCGCTGTTCCCTACTGATCCGGACACAAATCCCAATTGTAGATGATTAGCACCAGATGGGTGGCAACTTTTGAATCCCGGGATCATCCAAAAAGGTATAATATCTCTATACAGAGCAAGTGTGGCCCAGGTTAGAGGGGTTACAGATACACGGACAGACAGAATTTGCTTTTATTTATTTAGGCGATTATACATATTTATTCATAAATAATTATAACGGAAGATAACGGAAGAGACTACATTTGTCTTCTTGTCCTCAATCTTTGACAATGTTTTTTTAAGCTAAGGTTTATCATTTGTCTAAAATCATTTTTGCCATTCATTTTCAAATAAATATTTTTTTCCTTCTATTTGTTTTGTTTCGGTTAGCTGCATATCAGCCATTGTGTGTTATTCAATGTCGAAATCTAAATATTTTGTAAACAATTTCATTTTTTTTTTTGGGGGAGAATAATGGATTTAGTGATACAAGTCTTACTAATTAACCCATAGCTAGGGAGAAGAAGGGAATTCATGCATTTTCCAAGCGTATTTGCTTATAAGTGAATATACCGAAATTAACCGGAATTAGAATTTGTTTCTCTGACTAACAATTCCGAGCGATTATCGTTTACACCACCCGAACGTTCAAACTTACGGGACGTGGTATTCCCAAGCAGTCACCCATCTAGCTACTAACCAGATTCGACGTTACTTAACAGTAAAAAACAAAAGGGATTTAAAATAAAATAAAAAATGTTTCTTCGTCTTTATGTGCTGTGTCCTTTAAGGATGTTGATGATCATGGCTTTCCACAGTTTCTTGTCCATTTCAGCTCTTACTAAATGTTGTCATTTTGCAATTTATCTTCTAAACCCTGTTCTGCCGTTCATTTACACAATCTATTTAGGTAGGTTATCCGCTGTTTTCCTCTGTCTCTCATGCCTTCAATATATCTTGTAAATGTCAAATTTTCCAAGCCCTCCTTCCTCATTATATGCTGTAGAAATTTCAATTATCTCTTTCTGATGTTCTCGAGGTCCTCGACAAAATCCAGAGACGGATATGCAATGTGATAGGTCCTGATCTGGCATCTCGTCTACAGTCACTTTTTCACAGACGTGCTGTGGCTTCCCGCTGTCTTTTCTGCAAGTATGTTCGTGGCAACTTTCACTGGTTCCCAAACTGCATGAATTTAAACGTGCTACTAGGTTGGCATCTCGGTCCCGCGCTTTCACTGTCGAAACGGTTAAATGTAGCCGACATTCTACTCCAACAGCTTCTTATCTCTCACTTCCCAACCGTGGAACTTCCTTCCTCTTACTTGCTTCCCTGATAGCTATAATCTTCAAATATTCAAATGTAATGTCAATCGACATCTGATACCGTGATCTTGATCCCCGTCCTTCTCTTTATCCATTCCCCCAAAACCGCATTTTTACTCTTGCTCTCATTCTCTGTAACCCCTTGCATGCTAGTGGGATGATATGCTTGGGATATATATATATATATATATATATATATATATATATATATATATATGTGTGTGTGTGTGTGTGTGTGTGTGTGTGTGTGTGTGTGTGTGTGTGTCTGTGTCTGTGTCCTTTTTGTTTCCATTTTCTTTGTATCTGCTCACAGGTTCACTCCATGATAATCTCAACATCCTTCTGTATAGACACATGTCTATTATTTTAAGTCTCTTCTTCATCTGTGAGGAGATTGCCCGTACTGTCGCATAAGAAGCCTGGTATTACGTAACAGTTCAGTGCTCTTTACTTTGTTTCTAATTAAATTTTCCTTTTTTTTAATACTTTGCTTTGCTTTTGAAAGTCATCTTTCGCTATCCAAATGCAAATTCGGCTTTCGCTATCGCGCTTTCCAACCTCTGTTAAAACACTTCTCAGATATTTCAATTGTTGTACTTGCTTGATTTTGGATATCTCCAATGTGTAATTTGCATGTTGGGCTGTCCCTTTTGCTAACAATCATGCATTTTGTCTTCTTGTAATTGATGTTTAGTCCTTTTCTTTTACTTTCCTTCACTACCTTTTGTATCTCTTGTAGTTTCGGTTTTATGTCTGCTATATCCTCTGCATATCTTATTTTTTGAGATTGTGGCCGCAAATAATGAATCCTGGTGGGACTTCTATTTCTCTCAAAATCGTGCCACTTTATAGGTTGAATAAATCCGTTGAGAAGACACTTGAGAAATAGATCTAAAAATGCGTTCATTTCAGAAGACGATCAGAAAATTACAGAATTAACAAAAACAATATCGGATGTAGCCCCCACTACTTTTGCCATTTGATGGAGACCCACCCAACATCTGATTTAGCCCCCATAATTTTTGATATCTGATTTATCGTTTCCTGATACACATTTGACATCTGATTTGACGTCCACCGACATACTTTGACATCTGATTTAACCTCCCTCCACACAATTTTGACATCTGATTTATCAACCCCAATTTTTGACATCCGACTTAACTCCCCTCTATTTTATATCAGATGTAACTGGACTTTTGACATCTGATTTAACCTCCCTCCACACAATTTTGACATCTGATTTATCAACCCCAATTTTTGACATCCGACTTAACTCCCCTCTATTTTATATCAGATGTAACTGGACTTTTTTGACATCTGATTTAACCTCCCTCCACACAATTTTGACATCTGATTTATCAACCCCAATTTTTTGACATCCGACTTAACTCCCCTCTATTTTATATCAGATGTAACTGGACTTTTGACATCTGATTTAACCTCCCTTTTTAACAATTTTGACATCAATTTTGACATCAATCAACCCCAATTTTTTGACATCCGATTTAACTCCCCTCTATTTTTATATCAGAACCACACATCTTTGACAGAAATTTTGACATCTGATTTTCAACCCCAATTTTGACATCTGATTTAACCCCTCTATTTTATATATCAGATGTAACTGGACTTTTTGACATTTAACCTCCCTCCACTCAATTTTGACATCTGATTTATCAACCCCAATTTTTGACATCGACTTTTTCCCCTCTTTTTTTATATCAGATGTAACTGGACTTTTGACATCTGATTTAACCTCTGATTCACTCAATTTTGACATCTGATTTATCAACCCCAATTTTTTGACATCTGACTTAACTCCCTCTTTTTATATCTGATTTGATTTTTGACATCTGATTTAACCTCAAAATTCCACTCAATTTTGACATCTGATTTATCAACCCCAATTTTTGACATCCGACTTAACTCCCCTCTATTTTATATCAGATGTAACTGGACTTTTGACATCTGATTTAACCTCCCTCCACACAATTTTGACATCTGATTTATCAACCCCAATTTTTGACATCCGACTTAACTCCCCTCTATTTTATATCAGATGTAACTGGACTTTTGACATCTGATTTAACCTCCCTCCACACAATTTTGACATCTGATATATCAACCCCAATTTTTGACATCCGACTTAACTCCCCCTCTATTTTATATCAGATGTAACTGGACTTTTGACATCTGATTTAACCTCCCTCCACACAATTTTGACATCTGATTTATCAACCCCAATTTTTGACATCCGACTTATTTCCCCTCTATTTTATATCAGATGTAACTGGACTTTTGACATCTGATTTAACCTCCTCCATCAAACATCAATTTTGACATCTGATTTTAGCCCTCAACCCCTGGACTTTTGACATCTTTTGACATCCGATTTTTCCAAACATCTGATTTATCAACCCCATTTTGACATAATCATTTTAATATAGATTTTATATTTTATATCAGATTTAACTGGACATTTTGACATCTGATTTAACCTCCCTCCACTCAATTTTGACATCTGATTTATCAACCCCAATTTTTGACATCCGACTTAACTCCCCTCTATTTTATATCAGATGTAACTGGACTTTTGACATCTGATTTAACCTCCCTCCACTCAATTTTGACATCTGATTTATCAACCAATATTTTTTTTGACATCCGACTTAACTCCCTCTTTTTATATCAGATGTAACTGCATTTTTGACATCTGATTTTTAATTTTAACATCCTCCCTGATCCCCTCTATTTTATATCAATTTTGACATCTGATTTATCAACCCCAATTTTGACATCCGACCCCAATTTTTTTAATTTAACCCCTCTATTTTATATCAGATGTAACTGCACTTTTGACATCTGATTTAACCTCCTTCCACACAATTTTGACATCTGATTTATCAACCCCAATTTTTGACATCCAACTTAACTCCCCTCTATTTTATATCAGATGTAACTGGACTTTTGACATCTGATTTAACCTCCCTCCACTCAATTTTGACATCTGATTTATCAACCCCAATGTTTGACATCCGACTAAGCTCCCCTCTATTTGGCATCAGATTTAACCCCCTTTTGACATCTGATTTAAACTCACACGCATACTGATTTAGCACCCCGATATTTAACAACGTTTCCGCAACTAAGTTTTAAAATCTTATTAATATTCTCAATCCAACTTTCAACGTCTTGATTTACATAACACTACATTTTTAAACCCAATAGAGACCCCCCCGCTACTCGCGCGCACTTTCTGGTGCCATACATTCGAATGACTCATAGAAACAGCTAAATATAGCTGCTTTACAAAACTTCTGTAAAGTTTACCGACAGACAGGTAAGAACTTGACCCGAAACCTTTTCATTTACCGAACAAATGAAAGAAAGCGTTCGCTGAGGTCGTATTGCGTCCGCAGAGATATTGGTAATGGTGACGTCACGACTTGCTACTTCTGTTCATCCTGTTCAGTACTTTTTCTTCTTCTTTCCACATTGAAGCATCAGTGTCTGTTGGCAGCAAGAGCAGCTGTCCATATGTGCAGCGTCGGTCGAGCAGGTCATTCATTTCATCTACCCGGGGTTTTAAGCGTTTCACCATGGCAACAGTCAGATGGCTGTCAGAGAACTGACGAGGACAGGGTGGCAGTATACGTTAGAACGAACGTCATCATCGCAGAAGAGACACGTTGCTTAGGAGATGTGTGGGTTCACAAGACGAGTTATCATTCGTGCTGATAGTGTGTTCATACTTCCCTGTGTCTAACATCGTATATACGTCTATGTCTCTCTATGTGCGTGCTTAAGCGTGTAAGGTAACGGTAAGGTAAAGGTGAAATAAATCCAGTAATAAACTATCAAAAGAAAAATTGCCGAATTCATATTTTAAATAGTGTGGGAAAAAAATTAGGTAAAGAAGAGGTGGCTGAATAAAAGCATTAGTTAAGGTGATGCAAAAAAACGGATGTCTTCTTAAAACGAGAGATACATGTTCAATTCTCATCGATACCACACTGCTTGGACAGACTTTGCCGACAGAGTGTACTGTTTAAAACCCAACAAAAACAAGATGAATTAAAACTAGTAATAAAATTATATTTGTAATGAATAAAGTATCGACCCAATGCCATGTCATAGAAGAAAACTAAGAAAAATAATGATGATCATGATCATGATTTTGATGATGATTATGATCATGATAAAATCGGCCTCGAGCGATGTGACAAAAATCAAGAAAAATAAGATAGAATAGAAATAAAAATATTACTAATAATGAAGAATGTATAGACCCAAATCCTTGTGATGAAAGAACACAATTTTATGGGACCAATGCTTGTTAACTAGAAATTACCAAGCATACACACTGAAAAATTATTTTAATCCCGAATGTAGATTCTCTGATAAATATCCAGAAACAATTGACCATCTTGTATCAGGTTGCGCGGTATTGGCACCAACTGAATATCAAACTCAGCATGAGGGCACCTAGAGGTGGTGTAATGGTTATAAAGCTCGTCTCGCTAGAATAATTACGACTGAGTAGTGAGTTCGATCCTCACTGGGTGCCCCTTACTTTCGGCCTTGTGCCACATCTAAGCTACGCTTGGAAAATCACTATAAAACTCGGCATGATAGAATAGGGCAAAAACCGCTACTGGAAAATATGCAACGTTTACGGGAAGGAAACTGCAAGAAATTAGTATGAACACTACCCAGACCCGGTTACAGAGATAGGACCTGGAACACTTGTATGGGTCTTTACAATTCACGAGTACAGAAAAATCAAAGCTAATCGCCCAGACATCGTGATCAATGACCATAAAAATGGATTCTGCTTTCTTATTGATATGGCAGTCCCTGCATTTGTAATGTATCTTTGAAGATCTTTAAAAAAAAACTATTAAAATACAAGGATATTGAAGTGGAAATCCCAGAAATGTGGCACCTGAGGACATCAGTAATTCCATTTGTAGTTGGAGCCCTCGTATTGATTGGAAACAGTCCCGGTAGACTCATTGAAGGGATTCCTGGTAGCCCATGCCTTAAAGAAATTCAAATCTCACATTACGAAGAGCTTTATGCAACATGTGTGTGATCTTAGTAGAACATATCATGCATCTATTTCTGGCCTTAGGTCTCTGGCTGGGACCCAGGAGGAAATGTGTATAAAACAGAAATCAAAGAAAATAATAATAATAATAATGATAATAATAACGATGATAATGATGATGAAGTATATATCGACCCAGCAATGTGATCAATAGCAACCATAAGCTGAAACAATAAGCTATCAATAAGATAGCAAAATAATAGTAATAATGAAGAATGTATCGATCCAGAATACTACGATAAAAGACAATAATAATGCGATTGAATAAAACTGTTGATAAGATAACAGAAATAATGAAGAGTGCATTGGTCCTGAGTGTTGCAATGATAAAATTGCATAAGATGGAGTAGAAGTAATAATAAAATAATAATAATGAAAATACGTCATTTATTAACAAGGCGCTTATTCTATGTGTTACACTTACGGCCGCATCATGTTGAAACACCGGTTCCCGTATGATCACCAATGTTAAGCAACGTCGAGCCTGGTCAGAACCTAGAAGGTTGAGAATAGCGGGAGCTGTAAGCTTGGATGTGCGAGTGGTGTAATAGATAATGACATGGAATTGTTAGTCGGAGAGCCGTGTTCCCGTACGATCACCGAAGTTAAGCAACGTCGAGCCTGGTCAGTACCTAGATGGGTGACCACTTGGGAATATTGAGTGCTTTAAGCTTCGATGTACGGGTGGTGTAATGGATAACGGCTCGGAATTGTTAGTCGGAGAGCAGAGTTTCATTTCCAGCTGGGTTTGTTATATTCACTTACGCGAAAATATCCCTCGGAAAGGTATAAATCTACCGCTTCCCTCCTCCAGCTGGTTAATTAGTAAGGCTTGTATCAATGATTTTTATCTAAAAAAATCTTGCAAACTAAAAAATATTTTCTGGCTTTAAATAACCTGAAAAAGGTTGATAAAACGTAGGAAACGAATCAATCTATTGGCTATAGAGTTACTAGTTATATCCCTACACATGGATCCATTAATGATTCTACTGCAATGGCGGGAAACTATATTACATTTGTTTGGCTTGAAATATATTGTCACTATTACGGGCTTAATTATTATGGGCATTTGTGAAAACCATTTATGGCCATCTCATTCTTACTCATATGACCCCAGGTGTAAACCTCGGCATATTCGAGATATGACAGTGTTATCTAATAACATGTAAAGATTATTTCAAGTCTACAACTGACGATCAGTCAGGGACAATTAAAATACGTAATACCTATAATATAATAATAATATATTATATTCTATAATATTCTATATATATTCTATTTCTCCATGGAATCGATACTTCAAATATACAAATCAACCATTCGCCCTTGCATGGAGTATTGCTGCCATATATGGTCTGGGGCACCTTCTGTTTACCTCGGAGTTCTTGACAAGATCCAGAGACGGATATGTAATATAATTGGCCCTGATCTGGCATCTCGTCTACAGTCACTCTCTCACAGACGTGCCGTCGCTTCTCTCTGTCTTTTCTACAAATACTTTCATGGTAATTGTTCCGATGAGCTGCTTTCACTGGTTCCCAGACTCCATGAAATTAAGTGCCCTACGAGGCTGGCATCCCGCTCCCACCCTTACGCTGTAGAAACTTTTAAATTTAGCCGTCTCTTCTACTCCAATAGCTTCATACCTCGCACCTCTCGCCTGTGGAACACCCTCCCCAATTACTGAAAGCTATAATCTCCAACTGTTCAAATGTAATGTCAATCAACACCTCCAATTACCTTGATCTACCCACTATCCTTCTCCTCATCCTTTCTTCTATCACTCCTATCCGCTCTCGCTCCAAATCTTCTGCAACCCCCCTGCATCCTAGTGGCTTCACGCCTTGCTCGGAGCGTAATGCTTAAAAAAAATGATATGAAATGAATTGGACATTGAGTTTGTATGTCATTCTCTCTCGTATTTAATACTATCGTTCACCTAATTCAAGGCACAAGAGCCACTCAAGTTTCCGAGTATGCGTGACTGCTAAGGTGGCTAGCTAATCCCTGTTGCAGACACCTGCTCAGGCATATATGTGTTTCATCAAAATTTCCAAACCTACGCTTTATACTGCAACTATGTTGGTCGGACATTAGTTATAGTTCCTGGGAGAGAGCGTATAATCTGAGGTGATCAGTAGTCAAGCAAAGTCAGTACGCTCAAATCTTCGGTCACGATGACTTAAGATTTTGTGCTAACACAACCATCAACGGCTTCAGAGCCGTTTCATCTACCTAATTTCATTTTCATGGTTTGTTTTAGCCTGTGGCATGATTTTACGGCATTTCTCAAAGGACCCGCATAAAGGGATCTTCTTTCGGGTTGATATTACCAAGAAAGGAGTTCCTCGAAAAACCAGCCCTCATGGTCGGAAAACGAACGTTCTAACCACTCGGCAACGTGCCTAACATTAAACGTACTGACAAATCCTTCATAATTGAACTTCTGTTCTTATGCTGGTTGCCTTTTAACACACTTTTTATGATACCTTGTTTACAAGACGAGCGTATCACGTGATGTCTGATTTCTTTTTTTCTCTTCTAGAAAATAATGTATATTTCATAATCTGAGATCAAGCAATAAACGTTCTTAAATACGTTTTTCATTCCTTCTTTCTTGTTTCTTCGTTTCAATATTTATTTAACAGGGGTTTTTCTGGGCAGACGAGGAACGTGACCTGAACAACTGTCTGCAAAGTGAATCTAGTTATTGCGTGCACTGTCAAAATGAAGCGATGGGAGTATTGACCTCGTCTTGCCATTGTGTGTCGCGTGAGTTGTCCTGACATCATTCACCTTATTATTTAGTGAAATGCTGCTAGTCTTTATTTATAAGCTTAGCTTATCTAGTCGACACGAAGATTGTGTAGCGCCAATCTTTCGAACAATCATGAGTCCTGTAATGCAGTGGTCTCCAATCACCGAGCCGCGGACCAGTACCGCGGACCGGTATCACGTAATAGACACCAACCCCCGGTCTTTGGAAAATTGTCTTGCATGACACTCAGTCCGTGGCGCCAAAGGCTGAGGACAGCTGCTCTGATCCATTATATTAGAATGATATTACGTGTAGTGCAACCATAGAATCGGTGGGTATGTATGACACAAGATAGTTTGACGAAACCCATCACTCTTAAAACTGGTTTTGAATTCAGAATTGTAATTCTCCTAGTCTGGGTACGATTCAAGGCAAAAAGAAAATATCTGCCCTGCTATTTAGCCAATTTTCTGATGGAAGATAGTTTCATTTTTCTTTCAAGTGAATAGTGTGAAGAGAAAGAAAGTCACAAACAGATATAGAATTCGGCACGCCAATTCCACGTCCTGAGTCGATAAAAGTCATTCTACACGGACATCCAAGGACCTACATGCCTTGAAAGGGAATGGGACGTTCCGGCGTAGCCCATTTGGCATCGCTGATTCAGCGTGGCCGATTCGGTGTAACCGATTCGACATAGGAATTTTTTGGCAGAGAGACGATCAGGCGTGAGATTAATACTTCGTCGTTATAGTCAAATTTTTTCTCTCTCTCTCTCTTTCTCTCTCTCTCTCTCTCTCTCTCTCTTATTAGTCAAATTAATACTTCGTCGTTATATGCTCAGATAGTCCAGTATAAGAAAAACAGTAGTTAGAGGCATTTTTATTTATTGGTGCCTTACGGAAAGTTCAGAAAGAACATGATGCATTCTCGAAAAGTTGATTGCTGGATATCCAACCACCAAAAAACTGAAAAAAAACGAGAGAGATGCTGACGAACGAATCAAAAAAGTCATAATGGAAGTTGAATCATTCAATGTTATTGAGTTCCTGAAGAGTGTTGCTCATAATTACGAAATGAAGAAGTAATTTCTAAGATTAAATAGCTTTACTAGTTTCTTGATTTTTTAAAATGACAATATTTTTAATTTAAGTTTTTAATTTACATTATTCCATTAATGTTTTAATAGGATCCTCTTTTCCCTAAATGAATAAAAAAAAGTCATATGGAAAGTTGGTTGTTTTCAATGCTTTTATCCTTTTCTGCGGGGTTGCTTCCGGTCAAAGATAGTGACGTCGAAACAGTCTGACGCTTAAACGGCTTTACTGAATAGTCAAATTATTTTTCTGACGCCGAATCAGTGATGACGAATGAGTTGCGCCGAAACGTCTCAAACTCTGCTGTCTATTTTTTGTAAAATTTGTAAGAAATGTGTTTTGTCTTTGATGTAACTAGGAATATTGGGTAGTAAAGGTTTGGAGATGTGGTCAGTGGAACCAGAGATGTACTCTTTCAGAGTTTCTATTCCCGAAACGATCGTTTAATCGTTTAAACCGGGAATGTATCGAAGTTTATAAAAAGTGTCGATGACATTCAATGATTGATGCTTGTAAAAAAGAGATTAAAGAAAGCCGAAATAGATATCGGAATTTTTTTTTTTTAATTTAAAATATAACATTGATGAGAATGCTATTTTGTATAAATGTAGTTTTTGTTACGTAATTACAGATAATTTTACGCCATGGTTGAAGAACACACGTTTTGAGGGACATGTTGAGTGTTTTCAATGCTTTTATCTTTTTTTTGGTGGGAAGGCTTCCAGTCAAAGACAGTGACGTCGAAACAGTCTGACGCCTAAACGGCTGTACCGAACAGTCCAATTATTTTTCTGACGCCGAATTAGTGAAGCCGAATCAGCCACGACAAATGGGCTACGCCGAAACGTACCCACCCCCTTGAAAATGGGCATACAAAGTGTTAACTATGATATGCATTCGAAGACCAAGTTCTGGAGCGGTTCGAACATGCAAGTCTTTAAACAATTAGGACTGTTTTCTGTTGGATTTGTAGATCCCCAGTTTTGAGTATCTGTAAATTTGTGCCAACGTAAACTACGCTTATTAGATAATTAATATGTTAGAAAGTAAGTCCTGTCTCATATGAAAATAGAAAATAAACAAATTTTTCTTTGGTTTTAATTGATATATTTAATGAAGATAATATTTCTCACATTATCAATAACAGGATCCCATCTATTTAGATGATCAACCAGGCATAAATATCTTCAGATGTCGATGCAAAAAAATACTCAGTAACAATTCTCATCTTTTCATAATTAATAACTATTCTTCCGCTAAAATGTTGTAATGATCTGAAAAGATGATTGTCAGATGGAGCATGGCGAAGAGAATAAGGAGGATGAAGCAAAGTTTCCATATTTAACCCCAAATCTTTTCCTGGGTTACTCGGGCAACATCTGGCCTTCCATTATCGTATAAGACCAACACATCTTTACAATTAACCAATGGTAAGTGGTCTTTGAACGTTTGGTCTTTATGCTTAACCAATGGTAAGTGGTCTGTGAAAGTTTAGACAATAGTATCAATCGAAGTTAATATAATGCCACTTTTTTTGTTTTAGCACTTCATGACAAGTGAAACCCATATACAAGCACACAGATCGTAAGCTATTACTGGTGTAGTCCTGGTTTGTGGGTAGATTCTCTCTTTTCAGTGGGTTCAAACCATTCTCATTTTCGATTGGTGTCATTACAGAGGATCCACTTTTCCTCGCTAACGATGCTTTTAGCCAGTATAGATTCAATAGCATGTCTGCTCTTCAATGACGAGCAAAGAGCAACAATTTGATTAACCATAAAAATCAGTCAGATGATGAGAGATGAACACACGAAGTTTAGACGCTTGCTCATATATTTTATAATCAAAGTGTGACTTGTACTGAAGTGTTTTGCTAATCATAATAAAATCTTAATAACTATAAGGTGTTATCTAGGTGAAGACACCGTTGACACTAATGTCTTACCATTAATTAGGCCCTATTTCTGGGGAGTATATGCGGGATATATTTCTATTGTACTCTGTATTAACATTGGGTCTTGTACGATCACCGAAGTTGGGCAACGTCAATCCTGGTCTGTACCTAGATGGGTGACGGTTTGGAAATACTTGGTGCTCTATGTTTGGATATGCGGATGATGTAATGAATAATGACTCAGAATTGGAATTCGTGTGTGTTGTGTTCTAATTCCAGTCGGGTTCGTTATATTGACTTATGCGCAAATACTCTACAGAAAGGTATGAATCCAACACTTCTCCCCACCCCCTAAACTGTGGGTTAATTAGAAGAACTAAGAATGTGTAAATCATTATTATCGCCAAAAATTCTTACATTATAAAAATATTAAAACACAAATCAATCAATCAAAACAAATATATGACAATGAATGCAGGACAATTTGATTACAAATGAAGAGGAGACTTCAAGTAAAAAAGAGTGCGGAGCTGCTATATAATGTCAATCCGCCTATATAGTAGTGAATGCTGGACAATCTCCTTACAGATGAAGATGAAACTTCAAGCAAAAAAAAGTGTATGGAACTGTTATGCAATGTCAATCCGCCTATATAAGAAGTGAATGCTGAACAAACTTCTTACAGATGAAGATGAAACTTCAAGCAAAAAACAGAGTGCGGAACTGCAATGTAATATCAATCCGCCTATATGGAAATGAATGCTGGACAATTTCCTAAAAGATGAAGATGAAACTTCATGCAAAAAAGAGGGCTAAGTCGTTATGTAATATAAATCCGACTAGTTGGCAGACAATGCTGGATATTTTCCTCACTGATGACGATGTGACTTGAGGCAACAGTGAAATGGTCCATCAGAAGGATTCTGCGAATTCCAGAGATCGAGCATGTCAGTTTTATGGGGAAAAAAGAAACACAAAGAACTATTTGCTTAGAATCAGAAGGCATCAGTTAAAATTTCTGGGTTCATATAAAATGGCTTAGAAAATTTGACACTCACAGAACATATCGAAGAGAAGAGAAAGTCATTAAGTAACCTGCCTAAGGAGTTTGCGTAAATGGCTAGCAGAACAGGGGGGGGCATTCTGATTATTCTATATACGTTGCTTAATTCCCTGTTGCAAAGGACATTCGTTCTGAAATTATTTAAAAGTTAGCGATTTTACGAAAACGCAAATCAGTTAATAAAAAAATGAAGAAAAAAAGAGAGAGATTTATCTCCCAGAAATCCATGCTATTCACACTTGTTTATCTTTAAAAGAAAATGTATCTTTTATTTTTCCTTTTTTGAATCGTTTTTTTTTTATTTTTTATTTTTTTATTTTTTACTTTTCTTACTGAATTTGTTGGCTGAATTTCAAGTTTCGGAAACTCATTACAAAATCACGTGGTTCTGAGACTTCATTAATGACCTTATTACAAAATCGATCTGCTCCAATTGTGATTACATTTTTTGCTTTCTCTCTCTCTCTCTCTCTCTCTTTCTCTCTCTTTTCGTGTTTCGTCTTTATTTCCAGTGCCACGTATTCACTGGAATCGATTTCTTCCCGTTACATCAGATCCTATTGATTGATTAGAAATGAAGATCAATTTACTTCTTCTCATTTTCAGCAAGCGACCCTTCAGTGCCCACCGTTCCCATCTACAACTATTCCTGCATTCATTACCTTCTTACTTACACACGTTTCTTCCTTACATGCGTCTCTACATACCTCATATCTACATATCTCCATTTTTCTCGATGTCTGCTAAATGGCTATGCAATAGGCATGAACACGTACGAAAATTTGAATAGCTGACATTCTAACAATTAATTCAATGTATTTTCTTTATTATTCATTTTTTTATCGAGACATCTTCCAAGATATTCTACAAGTATTTCGATCTCTTGTCTGGGTGGTCCGAAAGTTTTGTCACCTGTAGATAATATAATTTTCGATTTAAGATCGTTGACAGGGTTAGGGATGGGGTGACAAAACTTTCGGATCACACTGTAGTTCCCTTATCACTAGTGGAAATGAAAGACCACCCTCTGTTAATTGAAAAACATTAAAAGACAAAAGACTTTGCAAAATGTTAACACATGCCCTGTAGGTAAAATATCCAGAAAGGAAAATGGCCGCCCCCTGAGTCAAGATATTTAAAGACAATATTGTCACGAGAGACTTTTCAAGATGTACGAAGTAGATTCTATATAACACGAAACCAAATTACCTGTGGTGGGGATAGGGCGTTTTATTACATAGTCTTGGCTTGTAACTAGTGAATGGTTTTAGATGTTGTTGCCAGAGTGACTCGGACGTAGTTTTAAGCTATTCTCGCTAATGCAAATTGTTCGTGAATTGTGTTTCCTTTGGTGTTCCCAACGACCTTGTTTGTTATCGACGACAAAATCACTTATAATTTAACTATTTAGGTACCATAAAGGACATCTTACAACTAATATATCGTAGTTTCATTTTATGAGATTTAACATACATCCGATGTAATTTTCTTATCTCTCAATATTTCTGAGATGAGGTATTATGTACACTATTTACATTGTTCAGACTATCATCCTCATATTTGTTGCCATATTTATCACAAAGTTTTGGCCGTTATACGCTCCAGCCATCCTCAGGTGGTTGGAATGTCGAACTAAACCCTTTATTACGCTCACTGGGGTAGACTGTTCTAGTTCCACGTGCCATGTCTAAGGGATGTCAGTTATCAGTTATCTCCTGTTAATTCCCCTCTCCAACTTCTCTTAAGCAGGCATTGAACT